ATTAGCCTTTTCATCAGTGTTTTTGGTTATTAAGGATTTCAGAATGTCAGAGTCGATTTTAATTCTGGATAATGCGTCCGCATTTGTGTTTATTTTCCCCTTTTTATAGATAATGTCGAAATCATAGTCCGACAAATCAATGCGAATACGAGTCATTTTTGAGGATGGGTTCTAATGTAGGAAAAGTGATATCAGCGGTCTATGATCAGTTATAACTGAGAATTTCTTGCCTTAAAGGTAAGGACGAAAATAGTTGATAGCCCAATGAATCGCAAGTAATTCTTTTTCTATTATTATTCAAGTCAGGTTTTTGTAATCCTTTACTTGCATAGCAGATTGGTAGGTCGGAACCAATCTGTCCTTGAGAAAGTACTGCGCCTAAGGCGTAGTCTGAAGCATCAGTTGTGACTATGAAGGGTTCATCGAAATTAGGATATTTCAAAATGGGGGGGGCTAATTAACTTAGTTTTAAGTGTACTGAAAGCTATTTCACATTCACTGTTCCAAACGAATGTTTGACCTTTCTTTAAAAGTAGATTGAGAGGTTTTGCAATTTCTGCGAAATTACGAATAAAGCGTCTATAGTAGTTGCAGAATTTACTTCTAGTAGCTATGCATATATGCTTTTTAATATTTTTATCTCTTTCTGTCTCTATACGTTTTGCGACATCTTCGTCATTTAAATTGGACATTGTTCTATTAGCCTTTTCATCAGTGTTTTTGGTTATTAAGGATTTCAGAATGTCAGAGTCGATTTTAATTCTGGATAATGCGTCCGCATTTGTGTTTATTTTCCCCTTTTTATAGATAATGTCGAAATCATAGTCCGACAAATCAATGCGAATACGAGTCATTTTTGAGGATGGGTTCTAATGTAGGAAAAGTGATATCAGCGGTCTATGATCAGTTATAACTGAGAATTTCTTGCCTTAAAGGTAAGGACGAAAATAGTTGATAGCCCAATGAATCGCAAGTAATTCTTTTTCTATTATTATTCAAGTCAGGTTTTTGTAATCCTTTACTTGCATAGCAGATTGGTAGGTCGGAACCAATCTGTCCTTGAGAAAGTACTGCGCCTAAGGCGTAGTCTGAAGCATCAGTTGTGACTATGAAGGGTTCATCGAAATTAGGATATTTCAAAAT